ACTGTTAATTTTACTATTCGAAAAGTCAAGTACAGGTCAAGTTAATCCCTGAGGAGTACCTCTGAACTTAACGTTGTATTCATGTCACCAGAAATGGGAATAATATTAAAATAAAACTAAACATTTGGCAACAAAATTTCAATTTTTTGAATTTAATGGTACACGTCACGGGACATAAGGGACATACAATTTTCAACTTTAACAATGATTTCTTCGGCCTTTAGTGATATCTGAACAGCAAAATTTTGCCAAAGTACTTTATAAGGGGTAAAGTTTAAAATGGAGTAATAAAACATTTGACTGTTTAAAGTCTTTTATAATCAACACTTAGAAAGTTAGATAATAGGTGTGTCACTTAATTTCTGTTTAATTTTCTTATAATAATTAAATTATCTCTGTGTGTAATTTTTATTTGTTTCTAGACCGGACGTAGATTATTTCTTATTGAATAACTAAATACAGTTATTTCCAGGGTCGGTATTAACAAATTCTTTTAGAATTTAACGTTATAAACCTACCGGTAGTTTGCTTGGTTACCCAATGATTTAATCCAGTCCTGGATATACCGATAAACTATATGATAAATTTAATGTGACGTTAATTTTAATTATCTTTTAAAATATTAATTGTCTATGAAAGTTTATGTAACAGGAATTCAATGAAGATTTCGATTATAGATAATAATGGCTACAGTTATTCTTATTTTTATACTACCAACTTTTTTGTAGGTAGTTGTTTTTTTTATAAAGTGATTGTAGTCTCGGCGGAAGTAAATTTTAGGTTATACCAGTATCATTTATTCAGATATAAGGGGAAAATTCGCATTATTTTCGAATAGGTCGATTTTTACTACGGTTACATGTCAAGTTTCGTTGAACTGTGAGGTTTAATTTAAAAAATAGAGTTCCTTGAATAAAATTGAACAAAACTACTCTATATGCCTTGGTTTTCCTTCGAGGTTTTAATCTTGAATATCTCCGTAGTTTTAAACAATCGTATTTATATTTTCATATTTCTTACTTTTTTTATTTCATCGGCTTTATAATATTTTAAATTTTTTGTTTCCTTTATTTTTTAATGCTTTGTTCTTCATGTCTATTTTCGTTATATACTCCTAGGTATTGTTATCTTACAAACAAATTTAAAATTGTAAATGGTATTAAACGAAAACCTTTTAATCACAAATTACTGTAATTTTTATAAACGTTTTAAAATGTGTTTTTTCTATTTCAGGTAAGTGAAATGCTCCAGTTTTTATTCAACAATTGTGCCAGTTTGGTAAGAAATTTGAAAGTAGATATTTTTTAAAATTATTATAAAAATCCTTCTGGGGTACACAATTGATTTATATGAGATGAAGTTAAAAGAAAAGTGTCAAATATTTGCGTTTTTTAGAAAATGTGTTTTATTCAGTTTTAAAGTAACTACAAAGCAATGTAATTTGATACGTGGATATATTCAATCAGGCAATATTTTTCTGAAATTCCTGTTTTTAAACTAAAAACTATAATTGGCAACCGGTTTCAAATTAGTTACTTCATCATCAGGCATATCTAAATGGAGAGTCATGAAAAGTGGGAAATATTTAATAAAAAAATGAAAATTAAACAAAAAAAAGCAGTCAAAGTTCAAAGAAAAGGTTTAATAATAATTTGACTTTCCATGACATATCCATTATACGGATAACTACGTATTTTAACATAAAAAGAGTTACTGGTGACTGTGAAATATTTTTTATTTTTTAGTATGTTTTTATTTTTACATTCTCCCAGTCTACATCAACCGTTTATGTACCATAATTTTAGTTTACTTCAAGAAAATTTCAATAAAATATAGTCACAATTTTTGTTTAGTGCTTTTAATTTTATTATGTATAAATTGCTATTCAACAAATTTTTCATTTTAATTATAGTAGAATTGCAATCGACACGGAGTAATAAATCAAAATGTTATGGAAGTTTTACAGCACAGGCGGCTCAAACCAAATCTGTGATTTTAAACAGCTGCCAGTTATAAGGTGTGGTGATTTTAAGAATTTTACATGTGCCGCCCAGTTTTTGTGGAACATAACAATGGGCTACCCTTATTGTAATCCCTTATAAGACTTATGAGGGCACTTTTGGGTAAATTAGAGGTATTTGTTAGTATTATTATATTTTTGTTACTATTTTAAACTTAAATATTTGTAATTTAACCGCCGGGGTGCTTGTTTTAGGTGAGTCCCTTCGCAACTTACCCCTGAAAAAAAAACGTTTTTTCGGTAGGCCAATTTTGTAAATTTTGTAAATTCAATATTTTCATCACTTTTTTGACATGCTGCGGTTTTGCTTGCATTTTTGCAGTCTTGCACGCTTTTGATCTTTTTTGGTGGTTTAGTTTCTGGCAGCGTTAATTGGGTGGTCTCAACGCCGCGCCGCCAGATCATACTCTTTACTAATATGATTATAAAGAGAAACACTATATTTACTTGATGAGTCATTATTTACTGATATTATTAAAGGTGGCACTGTAGTATCGTCATCCAATATTTTGTCCAGATTCCACATGTTTTCTTCTTCTTTTAACACATGCTCGATTGCTTTTTTCCAATTTTCCTTCGTAACAAGTGATATGGAGGTTTCTAACAATGCTTCTACATCTTTCAACTTAAATGTATTATATCGACCTACATATCCTTTAACTTATACCCATATCCGTTCAATAGGATTTAGTTTGAAGTGATAGGAAGGAAGACGCACAACATCAATACCATGTTTTCATCCACTACATAACGTTCTGGAGGCTTATTATTTAATTTCACAATTTTTTGTAGTTCTATTTTTATTGTTTTTTCTGGAAACTTAATGTTTCTGTCTGCTAGCCACTTAATGATATCATCTTTCTTCCATGAAGTATTTAGCACACTTCCAATTAGACGAGAATGGTAACTAGCATTATCCATTACTATAACTGAACCCTTTGGTAAATGTTTTATCATCTGCTGAAAATATTCTTCAAAAACATCAGCGTTCATATCTTCATGGTAGTATTTGGTTTTTTTAGATTGAAATAATAAAGAACCACGTTTTAAAAACCCGTCATCATTTCCAATATGAAGAAATAACCAAAGGGTTACTATCGTGCTTACAGAAACAGAATACCTCTCTTGGAAATTTGGCTGTGATGGAAGAAATGTTAATACTGGATGGAAAGGCGGTATCATTCGAAAAATAGAAGAGTAGTTTGACAAACCAGTTCATTGGAGTATTTGTATGCTCCATACCAATGAACTACCACTAAGGCACATACTACAAGAGTTGCATGGCAGTACCAAACAGCCTTATTCTTTCTCGGGGCCTTTAGGAATACTTTTTAAGGATTGCGAAGAAATGCCAGCGGTAAATTTGAACCTATTAACGGGTGTCCCAAAAGTTTTGGGAAAAAGTTTGTCTGTGCTCTGCGGAGTATTAAATCAAATTTATCTAGTTAGCCATGGTAATAAACGTTGCCCTAGGTTTTGTTTACTTGGTTGACAGCCCAGTTGCTATCTGTCTGTAGGCATAATGGCGTACAAAATTGAGATTCAAAAATCTATTTATAACTTTGTTGGCAGAATGCCAAAAAAAGATATCGTTAATATTTTCCGGAATCAAAATATATCTAAAACAACCATTTATCGAACAATTCTTGCCGAAAAGTGGCAGACTGGCAACGCTTACCGATGTCAGGGTGAACAGGATTATCGAACTTGCAAAGGATATCATTGGAGTGTCAACTAGAAAGCTTTCCCGACGATTTCAGGCATCAAAATCGACAGTTTCTAGATATATTGCAAAAAAAGGCTTAAATTATAGAAAACGGACAAACTGTCCAAAGTATAACGAGGCCCATCTTCGAAGGATTCCTTATTGTTGCCGCTTGTTACGTCTTCGTCATTTTGTGAACAACAGAAAGATTATACTGGGTGACGAAAAATATTTTACATTTTCGCATGCCGACCTACCAGAAAACTTAGGTTTTTATACAGATAACATTGAAAATACCCCCGAAAAACCAAAGGCCAAATTTTCGGAGAAACTGTTAGTCTGGATTGCATTATCGGAAAATGGTTTGTCCAGTCCCTATGTAGGACGTGTTAGAGGCCCTGCAGTGAATCAAAATACTTACATTCAAAATTGTCTTCCGAAATTGGTAAATTTTATTAGAGAACATCATGCCAACGACAATATCATATTTTGGCCGGACTTGGCGTCGGCTCATTATACTAGAGCCACATGCGAATGGTTAGAAGCTCAAAATGTGCCATTTGTGCATAAGCAGGCCACGCCCCCCCCCCCCCCCCCCCCCCGATTTTGGGCAAGATGGTTAAGCAAAGTTTATGAAAATAGCTGGGAAGCTCAAAACGAGCAACAGCTGCGGCGTAGGCTATTCCAAAAACTTGGGGAGTTTGATGTTGAAGAGTGCCAAACTCTAATGAGACGCGTCAGGACAAAACTGTGCCATATCGAAGAAAATGGACCCCTAGCGGTACTGTAGTAGTTTTTATTTATTGTTAAGGTACCACTTTGTACGTAGTATTATGAGGGATAAATAAATTTTTAAAATATTTTTTTATGTCTTTAATTTTTTTCCCAAAACTTTTGGGACACCCGTTACTACACAACTTTCGGAACTTACAGAAGCAGATTTTACTACGGACCAACAATTTTTATGTCAAATTTGTTCAGCTATTAGTATTGGAATTATTTCGAATAACTTGGCAAATAAAAATCCGGGTTAAATGATCCATGCTCATTGGCTCACCATAGCTAATATAGGCTTCTACGATTATATGTAGCTACTGACAATCCCTCTGGTAATCTTAAATATATCACCACGTATATTTTAAAGGTTTATGCCCCAATTCACTTTTGGCACGCAATTAAAGCATCTAGGAGTTGCCAACAAATATCAAAAAGCTTTTTGAAAGAATAGTGTCAACTAATGCTTATTTTTCACACCCGGAAAATTTATTATTGGCAATGATGTTTGATTCATGTGACTTCGTAAGAAAATTGGCAATTCGCAGCATATTGAAAGATAGACAACAAACACATGAAGGTGTTCGATTTTTTAAGCTACCTAAAATTAATTTTGAAGCTGACGATTACAATAATCTTATTGACTGGCAAAAATGTACCATTACAGAGCCGCCGTTGGTATTAAAACTTTCTGATAATTGCTTGCAACAGCTTATTGCAGAGAAAGAAACAATTATCATTGACTCATTTCCATGTCATACGCAAGCGGTGGAAAGATGCGTCAAAATTGTAACAGAGGCGTCGTTGAAAGTTCGTGGTGAAACATCAAGAGATGGGTATATCAAAGCCAAATTAGAAGCAAGAAAAAGTTTGAGAATAAAAGAAAATACTACAAAACAATAGATACGTACAAGACAGAGTAAGTTGTATTACGGGTGGGAGGAACTCGGGGTGCAGCTACCTCTACGCGGTGAGCTCTGGGGTGATTTAATACTTTTTATTCTTTTTTTTAATAACAAAACAGCGTATAAAAACCCATGCAAAATGCTGCACCTATAACGAGGGCTTTCAACTTATTACGCGACCGCTGCAAAATACGCCTTTTTAGACCATCTGGGCTCAGCTAAATATTATTATTTAAAACAAAAATTAATGGCAGCTTTAAGACGCTATTATCAAAATTTTCTTCGATGCCTGAAGTTAAAAACAAACAAAAATTGACCCTTTTGGCTCCTTAGTGGCCCTGCTAAAAATTGAGTAAAATAGCCCAACTTTTTTAGAGCACTTAGGAACAAATCACAGCTTTTTTGCACTACTGTATCATATATTTTTAAAAATCGATTTTTTTTGCTGTTTTTGGCCCACACTAACCCACACCTAAAATTTCCTGATCTGACAGATTTATTACTCCGTGTCGATTGCGATTCTACTATAATTTTTATTTTTGAACCATCTATACTTATTTTCAGTAATCATTAGGTACATTTATTGGCTAGTAGTCATTACAGGTACCTACTTTTTAGGTTGTAACTTAATTACCATGTAATTTGACCAAACAATAATATCACCTTCACACTAAAAGTCTATTGTAAAATATTAAACTTTCTGTACTTATTATAAATGTGTGCTGATAAAAACTTCAAACCCTATTTCAAATCTTGTTTCTTACTATTCTGGCCAAACAACCAGTTGCTTGGAGACACGTGAGTGTATTCTGTATTCCTTATTCTGTATTCTCTATTCTGTATTTTCTATTCTGTATTCTCCATTCTGTATTCTCTACTCCGTATTCTCTATTCTGTATTCTTCGTTCTGTATTCTCTATTCTGTATTCTCTTTGTATTGCTTTATTCTCTTTATACTGCTCTTTCCTTTTTTATGTCGCGGTATCCTTTTTAGTACCAATTTATAAAAAAAACACGATGTCAGTCACTTATATAAAAACTTTTCCATCTCTTAACATGTGTTACATAAAAAGAAAGTACCAAAATAAGTACATTTAAAACAAATCAATTATTAAACATTACAGTGATTAATTAGATTCAGTTACCTTATTAAAACAAGAAAAAATCGAATATCTAGATAAAAAAACTACGCCATTTGCAACAGCGTAGCTATAAAAACGAAAATCCTTTTTTTAGTGTTAACAAACTAAAAACAATTCATGAAACTCTCGTAATAATCTACAAGCGAAATGTTAAACCTTCAAGTCACTTATCAAGCAATTCTAAATATCCAAATATATTAAATAATTACCTTTAGTCGCCGACACAAACCATTACTTGCAAAATCTCAAATAAAATAAAGAGCTCTATCATGTCACAGACTATTCAGATACCCAATTCCATCGCAAGACTGCGTTACATATTCTGTATTCTCTATTCTGTACTCTGTTCATCACCACATATACATCGAATTCGAATTCAATTTAGTTTAAAAAATCAAATTAATTTAAATGGCAAATGTCTGTTAAAGCAACATTTCTCAATTATCAAATGTTCGAATCAATTCTAACAAGATTATCTACTTTATCTATGTAAGAAGTATAGTAATCTCGCTTTGCGATATTAATTTTTATCCAAACAAGAATGGAACAATGTAGCGAAATAATATATTTCACTTTCATCTTGCAGGTAAACGTGACTTTGTCGAACAGTCTTATAACAATCTGCAACCACGATTTGATATTTAATTGGGTTCGAAAAAAATGAAGAAATGTGAAGATACGAGTTAAATAAATTGGAATGTATAAATTTTGTAACGGTATTTACTACGAGAATTGGCCAAAAAGAGAAGAACAAAAATGTGTACATGTTTCTTTTTTTATTAGGAAAATAATGGGTATTTTTGGAATCCTTTTATTTAATCATAACAATGATTATTTTTTTTTTATATTCGACTTCATCTTCGGAGTTGAGTAACTAAATTATTTTGGTATTATTTCCAACAAAATAGCCAAAGTTTTCGAAACATTTATTGACTTTTAAGTCATCAAACAGCCTTCAATTTATTTTTGTTAAAACCAAACATCAACTATACGAGTATAATTTTTAAATAAGTATGGTGTCTATGAAATTACACGTTCAATTATTCATATTTGAGTTATTAATTTTACAGAGTGTTTAAAAGAATATGTGCCATTGGATGATGATTTCCTAACCAAAAATAAGACAAACAGTTCCTATCAATATGGGTCTGCAGATGGTTTATTAGAGATACAGGGTGTTTTTTATTTATTTTTCTTCGTTTCCTTCTAAATATTTGCGAAACAGGCGCTTTTCTGTCAATATTTGGGCATGGATAAGCTTAAATTGTCCTGTGAAATGTGCTGACAAAATTTAAATAATTAAACCATAAATACATGAATCTACAAATAGACACTTGTAGAGATGATCATGATATTCTGTGAAATAAAAGTCATACATAATTTAAATTGAATTTAATAGAAAAATAAATTAAAGTGATATAGTAACAATATTTTCTCAATTTGTTCGATGAGCATTAAATTATACAAACGTTCTTTGCTCAAAAGAGAAATAATGATATATTAACAATATTTACCCAATTCATTTGATGAATCAAAAGTAATAAAATTGAAAGTATTTTCTCAATCCACTTATCAACATTTAAATTTATAAACGGTAGAAACAATATAATTGAAAATACTCAATTCATTTTTAAACAGTCAAATTTATATTCAATAGAAATGGTGTGATTGAGAATATCCTCTCAATTCATTCGCCAATAGGAGAAATATATGAATAATAAAATAAGAAGGTTTATTAATACCTATCCGAGACGTCTTGTTAAAATAAGGTATATTGTTTTGAGTACTCAAAATAACATTTACAAACTGGTTGTAAATAAAAGAAACAAAAATTATTCTTAAAATGAAATCATACAGAAAATAAACAAACACCCGTTTCAAAATATAAGTAAAGTGTCTAAATAGACATTGCGAACATACTGTTAAAATTAAAGAAAAAATAATAAATACCAAAATACAATAGGCTGAAGCGGCACTAGAAAGGTCCCTCTGTTAGGCTACATACTGCACACTGAAGCTCATCATGTTACAAGACTGCTTGGGGCACGGGACCATGGTAAGAACGTTTGAAATAAAAAGGAAATCTCTGCTTCGCAGGGTAAATAAAACGGACCAGCATATTGGCAACACAGAATTTCATTCTGTAGCTTTCTGAGAATAACCACCACGGTTGATGTGGCTGAGTGTTTTGCCAGACAAAGAAAATGCAGGAGCAGCAAAGGAAATTACTTACCTCTTTTGAGGGTTTTCTCTGCTACCGGGATCCAGCAACACGTGGAAGAAAGTATCTTTCGGCGTCTCACTTGCCTCAGATTTTGGTCAAAAGCCAGGTTCATCCAAAATAAAAGTAACATGAACATTGGCACGGGGGCCCTTGGACAAAACTATTTAACTGGCAACACTGATTTGGCAACCTTGTTTGTGAGCGGCGCGCCAATTAATGTGTTCTTTGACAGTTTGAAGGATCTGTTGGCGTGTTGTCTTCTATTTTTAGCTATATGCATTCAGCATATCGTCTCACTCGTGTTAGGCTCACTCATCATAATGCGCCACAGACACAGTATACTTAGGTATACTGTGACACAGAGACGCGATGAGCCAGAGGACAATGATGTACAAAAAAATATAGATTAACACGTATGAAAATAAAAATATTAAAATTAAATTTATATTTTTATGTTATTTATGTAATATTAAAATAATGTAATTTTATGAAATTTAACTGGGTGTTCACTGCGCAAATGAACCAATGGAGAAACCGCCCCTGCATTCCTACCTTATCACGGTACAAATGTCACAAACTTGTCACCCTTTGGGTAATCTTTCAGTACTATAATGACAAAGGTTAAACTCATCTACTTAGAAACTTTGGTTGCCAAGAATCGAGATTTATTTTTAATTTATCATTATGACTTTTAATATTTTATTTTATACATGCCATTTTGTTTTTAGAATTAAAATATACCTCATACATCTCCAACAATACTATTTTTTTTATGAAGGGTCAACAGATAAAGATTCCATGCTGGTGACCCCGATCTAAACGCATTTCTGATGCAAACCAGCTGCAGAACAGAAGCTTAGAAGCTGCAGTGGCAACAACAGCAGTAGCAACGAAAACCGGCTACATTTATTATACGGGAGTGACATTAATCTTTCTAATAATAATAATAATAATGTTTATTCATAATAAAAAATATATACAATAATTAAAAATACATACAATCAATCCAATTGGATGAATAAACCTAAAAATATCCACTGAAGTATTATAAATACTTGTTTGTGGTAAAAAAAAATATGATTATTAAAAGAACATATTTAAATACATATATTAGAAATGCATTAAATAAAAACTTGATAAAATATATAATAATTTTAAGTTATACATTTTTTTTTAAATTTTTTTTTTATATATATTTTTTTTTTTTTTTTATTTACTAGGCTACATAAAATATTAATTAAAATCATTGAAAGAATAGACTAAGAGAAAAATTTTTATTTTTTATTTTCTATTTTGTTCTTGTTCAACTCTCTATTATTTTATGAATATCTGTTCTTTCACTTTCTTTTATGAAGAGTGTAAGTTGCTTTTTAAAGCTCTTATAAGAAGTTTCCTCTGTTATTCTCTGTGGTAAGTAATTGAACAGTTTTGGACCTAAATATACATAGCTTCTTTGTCCTACAGATTTCGAAGTTATTGGTATACAGTGTAAGTGTTTTGTTCTTGTTTGATATTGATGGCTTAATCTGGTAAGTTCATTTTTGTTTTTGTACTGTTAACACCCTAGCTGGATACTATATAATTGCCTAATATCTAACATGTGTGATTCACTATAGAGAAGATTGCTTGAAT